CAGATCAACTTAAGTTCAAAGTATGGCCTGACAATTAGAGCTGTGCAAAACTAACACAGGCTCCTTTCAGAGGTGGTAACTTATCAACCCTGGAGATAATTAATCAAAGAGAACTTGGGTCGGGGAATATTACAAGAGGCTTCACGTCTCAAGAAGGAAATCAAGCATTTATTAAACTCTTACTAAGTGCCATGCATTATGCTAAGGACTGGGGATGCAAATACAAGCAAAAAGAAAGACCAGCGAGGCAAGCAAGGCAAAGGTAGTATTAGGTGACCTCTGAGGCTCCTTCCAATTTACTCCTATGGCGTCAAAGTTGAATGTGGATATGTGTAATTCCATTTTTTTTTCTTTAAATGAACAATGAATATCACATGGCATCTTTCCATATTATTTGGCCCCCGAGGGCCACATGACTTCAGGAAAAAACAGACGGTGCTTTCACTGGGAACATAGGAAATTTATAATCTAATCTCATCAAAAATGTTACAGAGGCTGGCTTCACATCCAGGAAGACCTTGGTCCAATTTCCCACTTCTGACCCAGACTGGCTGTGTGACCCTTGACAAATCACTTAACCTCTCAATGTTCTAGGCCACAGACATCAAACACATAGACAGCCCTTGGGCTACATATGGATTCACAATGCCCCCAGCACAGCCCCAAACAGATTAAAATGTAATTGGGAAATATTTAACAAAACAAATAAAAAACACAATAAAACACAACTCACATTTTAAGCTATTATTAACATAACATTTTAAAACTAAGTCAATATGTGGCCCACAGAGATTCTCACCCACCCATAAGTGGCCCCTGCTTCTATTTGTGTTTGTCACCACCGTTTCAGGCACTGCTCTAAAAATTCTAAGTTGCAGAAAAAGTACTGAACTTTATTGATAGAGCTTCCTCATTCAGAAGGTCCCTATATCAATGAAATTACATGTCTATTCCTTATTCCTGCCTCACCAAAAGTAATTAAGATGGCAAGCTATTTGGACTTTCACCTAATACGTCTTAACAGATACTAACTAGTCTCTCTTCTCTGTGGCAAAATTACTTATATAGATTTTATTTGGTGAGGAAAAAAGAAAATGCTGAGGCCGAGTTCCCCAATTTGTTCTTGATACCAGTCACTACTTTTTAAATAAAGGGAAAAAAAGGCCTTTCATGACTACAAGTTATATTGCTAATCTCAGACAGTGAAATTGAAAAAAAAAAAATTAGATAGTGGCTGATGAGTAGCTAAGAACATTACAGATCCTTGATGGTGTCCCAGCAACATCATCTTCTCATTTGAATGTCTGATGTACAGTGAATTCTCTTATTTTGTATAAATCTATTTGGGATCATTTTTATATCCTATATCCATTAAGTATGAGTTTATAATTCTCCCTGTCTGAGTTTTATCCCATAATAAAATACGCTGTCAAAAACATATACCAGGTTTTTATTTGTGATAACATCTGTTTTCTCAATCCTTTAGAAAATCAAAGTTCTTTAAAATAATGTCATTTTTTGCTTTTTTTTAAAAAAAAGTATACAGAAATGAGGCATAATATCAGGTTTTGTTCAATTTAAAAATCATTTTAAAAGTATCATAGACCATGTTTGAAACAGTGGTTTAGTTTTTCATTCTCTCAGTTGTGGCAGGGAGGAGGAGAGAAGGTAGAGAAGGCATATTTTTATTTTTTTTAAATTAATTTTAAATGAATGAATAAGTGGATGGATGGATGAATACATTATAGAATTTGAGATTTGGGAGGCACTTTCTAAATCACTTAGCCTAATCCTTACCTTTAATGATCACTCAATCCCTACTTGAACACCTCTAGGGACAGGAAACTCATTACCTCCCAAGGAGGCCCACTCATTTGGTGAGCGGGGTCCTGTTATTGGACAGGTCTTTTCTTGAATTGAACTGAAAGCTGCCTTCCCTCTGGAGCTAAGCAGAAAAACCTAATCTCTCTTCAACATGACAGCCTTTAAAATAGGCGAAGACAGCTAAATCTCCTTTTCATCCTCACTTGGCTTGGTGAGCCTTCACCATTTTGGTCACTGTCCCCTGGACAGGCTGTTATTTGTCAACTCCTCTCCTAATGCATCCATTAACGCTCTCTACCAGATTTTTCGGCTGACATATCGTACTGTTGACTCATATTAAACCTGCACTCACTAAAATCCAGGCCTTATTCACATGAAATGTTATCCATCCAGGTCTCTACCATCCAGCACTTATATAGTAGATTACAACTGAAATTTGGTAATTTCCATTCCAACTGTTGCTTATTATTAATGACAAAACTACATTAAATAATTTGAATTTATGTCGAAGAATTGTTCTGAGGAAATTAGTCTACTTTTTTTTTTTTAAATAAAATTGCATTATTTGGCTATTACTAAAGCAATTCTGATTTTTAAATTAGTTATATTTGTGACTGAATTACAGTGGTTTTAAAAAATGGATGTTTGAATATCCGGCTTAATATATTTCAAAACCAGACATAAATTTGCTTTTCAAAGCTGTAGTGCATATTAGGTATTTTCCTTCTTTTATCCTTTCTGTAAAGCCATTTAAACCCAAAATTAGTGATAACCAAGAATTTCAAATTTGTATCTTTTTTTTTAGTCTAGTCCCCAATCATCTTGATCTTTATAAAGTGAAAGTAAGAAGGAAAAAAAAAGGAATAGGGATATTGGAGTTAATCTGTAAAAAACCAAAGTTTCATGTGCTCTTGGCATTGGAAAGAGAACTTGGCACTGAAGTTCAAATGTTGTATTTGAAGTCATGAAACCTAGCTGTGTGACCTTTGAGGGGTCACTTAACCACTCTGAGCCTTGGTTTAGTCATCTGTAAAATGGGAATGATAATAGCATAAGTACCTTAATGGGGTTAGTTGGGTCAGGATCAATTAGCTAATGTTTGTAAAGCACTTTGCAAAGTTTAAAGGTTCTCTAGAAATATCAGTTTTTATAACCAGTCTATTTTGATCTTTTCCCAAGTCTATGCAGAGAATAGACCATTCTTTGTGCTGTAAAAACCCACGCATTCTTCAAATCTTTCCTTTTAAAAAAACTTCATCTCTGGCAGAAATTTTGTAAAAAATAAACCATCCAAGTGTTCCCTTTTCTAAATTCTTTGCTGTTTACATATTCATCTAGAAAGCACACAAATTAACTTAGGACTGGAGAGGGGAATGGGGATGTTATTGGAGTTTGCTGGGCTACAAAATCTGGAAACCTAGATCTTCCTTTCGTCCTTCATTTAAGAGAAAATAACTACCACATAGTTACTAGCTACCCAAAGCGCCTTTAACTTTAAACAAAACAATGTCATTAAAATGATCACTTAAGGTATTTCTGAAGACAAACCATTTCCCTCTACTGTAAAACTAAGGGAGCATAAAAACAAAAAGAAATCTAGTAAAAATTTTTGGTAAAAAATTTTAATTTAGTAAAAACTAAAATGTATTTTTACAACTCACCAGGAGGCTCGGTTAAACGACGCCAAATTAGCCTTACCAGCTGTTTTGATTCTTGAAGTGCTCAAGGTACCCTCCCCCCTGCAGTGATTCTAAGGACGTCCTAATAAACAGGAATTCATATCAGGCGGTGGGACCGACTTCGATTCCAGTTTTGTTGCTTTCAGAACAGGATACACCTTACTAGACCTATTTAAAGCACAAACCTGCTTTAAATGACAATTCTATGGAGAATTGGGAAAGCGTATGCAGATGTTTCATTCAACAGCAGTCACCCCCTCATCCCCAATTCATGTCCAATTACAGATTTCAAATCAAAGTCGCCCAAATGCTTCAACTCTTTCCTCTAAGGTTGATGCAACCCTTCTCTACTGACTCTCACACCCCCAAACCCAACCATTTGATTTCGCTTTGTCATCCATTTCTGCGGGGCGAGTGGGGTGGTGGTGCGGTAAGGGGGGCGTTTTGCGGGTAGGAACGCCTGCCGGAGAGGCGAAGCCGACCCTGCTGCTTCCTAGGGAACCCCAGCCGGCTGGCTACCGCGTGTGGGACAGAGCTTGGGAGCGAGAGTACACGCTGCTCTCGGGAGCTGCACGTCTCCCAGGTCGGTGAGCCCTTGGGCACGACCACTGCTTGGCGCTGGGAAGCTTCGCTGGAGAGCGTGCGCCCTGCCGGCTGCTAAGCCTGCAAATGCGGTTACCGCACAGAAGCCCTAGGGGAGCCAGAGAGCCGAGCAGAGAAGAGGATCCGGGAGCACAGTGCAAACCAACAAGGGGGAATTACGGGAAAGGAGCGAGAGCGCAGCTCTCCGCGCTCCTCAGCTTTCAACCCCTCCGCCGCTAAAGGCGCGAGGGTGGCCAGCCGCAGACGGGCGCCCAGGCGCGAGGCGAGAATAGCCCTGGCTCCGACGAGGGCAGCTTTGGAGATCGTTCCTGTTTTTGCTTTGTTTAGAACTACGGAGAAAGCAAAAAAAAGAAACTAGGGTAAGATACGGGGATGCGAAAGATTGGGGGGCGGGGGGCTTGAGAGATTGAATCCTGGAGCTCCAGGGCTCCATCAACTCTAAGGCAGCCACCGAGGTCTTCCAGCCCCGCAGTGGCTCAGCCACGCTCGCAGCGGCAGCGGGCAGGACTGAAACCCCTGCACCACAGAGCAACGATACCGCACCAACTCTTCGGGCAGCCCGGGAGCTCGTGCCCTATATACCCTGCTAAAAATAGCCTGCACGGCCGCCTACCAATCAGAGTTGGGGAAATTTCGAATTACTCCAATAGTGGAGGCCGTAACGGAGACGTTCGGTCACGCCAGGCGGGGCAGCCATGAGCCGCGGGTGGCTACTGGTCGAAGCTGACATCATAGGCGCACGGCTTCCAGGATGGGTAGATAGCGATTGGGCCGCTGGCAGAGCCGGCGCAAGAGCTGATCACGTGGGGGGGAGGGGAGAAGTGGGGGGAGCCAAGGCCGAAGGAGGAGGAGGAGGAGGAGGCGGTGGAGGAGGAGGGAGGGGGGGAAGAGGCTGGCAGAAGAGGTTTGAATAGGGAAGTTTTGCAGGGGTTACGTTTGCAGTCAGTTCAGTGTTTGCAAATATTGTGTAGGCTCCTGAGCAAGTCTCTGTGATCCAGGAGAATCAGAATCTGAGGCTTCTAATTGCTGTGCAATTGAGTTTGCATGAAACTTTCACCTCTTCTGCAGGAATTGACTCTTGTGATTTCGGGAGAGAGTTTTAAATCTCTCTGACTACAGACCACACACCTCCCTATTTTTTACAACAGAATTGACTTTATTTTCCAACCAGACATGGATGTTCTCCCAATGTGCAGCATCTTCCAGGAACTCCAGATTGTGCATGACACTGGTTACTTCTCAGCTTTACCATCCCTGGAAGAATATTGGCAACAGGTAAATAGGGATTTTCATTACAAGGCGCAGAGTTTAAAAAAAAAAATGCCCAGTGTCACCGGTGCACTGAGGAAAAAGGAGTGAATGGAGGAAAAAAAAATTAAGAGTGTGTGTGATTGAAGCTGCCTATCTCTATGTATATATAGATAGATAGATAGATTTTTTTTGGTTGTTTGGGGAAATTTTTTAAAATTAGGATTTATTTTTTTTTAAATCTTGTTCAAATGCCTGTTGTTTTCAATACACTTTTTTAGTGCATCTCACGTTCGGAAGGGGAGTTGTCATTTTCATTAGACTGGAGCTGTAGATCAGTTGTTCCGAGAGTGTTTTTGCCATTTTGGACCTTCTCAGCGGCAACCATCGGAGCGGAGAGCCAAACTCTTCCAGCCTTGCGTTAGCTAGATCCCCGTACCGAGCCCTTGGCAGAAGTTTTGTGCTTGTATCGGGTCCAAACTCCACAGCTGGATCTTGTCATATGAACTTGCCTTTACTGCCAAGGGATTTTTTTTTTTTAGGGTTTTTGTTTTTGTTTGTTTGTTTTTTGTTTTGCCTTTTTTTGGGGGGGTGTGTGTGTGTATGTTTATGTGTGTGCGAATACTTCTAAAATGTAAATACATAGAGTATATATACTATATATAATTTATAGTTTTTCCTGGTAGAAATACCTACCAGCTTATTTCCTATCTCGTTAACAAATTTCTCCCCCTCTTTCCGTCCCCCGGGGAATTTGGAAGATTTGCCTAGGTTTTGCCTGATTTTCTTACCGGCTACTCTTGTTGATCAGCCGAAAGGAAAAAAAAAAAAAAAAAAGAAATCTATTTACACGACCAGTGACTTGTCAGTCATATGACAGTGAGCCTGTCCTGCTAATTGCTTCAAGTCTTAGTTTGCATAGAAGATCGGAGGCTTCTGTCGTTTTAATGGGACTGGATTTTTTTTAAGCTTTTGTTTTTGATTTTGATTTTTTTTCTCCCTTTCTTGATTGGTTGGATTTCTCCAGGCGAAATAGACTCCCCCACTTCTTCCATTGTCTTTAAATATATATGGAGGATCTGTTGTTGTCTGTCAGCCCCGGCTGTCTTGTTTGCTTTATTCACTAAGTGAATGATCAAATCACCTATTTTCCTGTTGGTTTGGAAGACCAGAAACCTTATTTAGAAAGATGAAATACAAAGGGTTGCAGCTTTCACGTGTCTTGTTTAATTGTTTGCAATCCTTTCTTCCCTTACTCCCCCCCCCTTTTTTTTTCTCCTCAAAGAAGCAGCTCCCTAGTACGTGATTGAAATTGATCTAAGTAGTTTCCTTCAGGCATTTGGGATTTGGGCAAAAAGCCAGACTTGGCTCCCAGTAGCCATCAGAGGCATTTAAACTCACAGAAAGCTTCATTCTGGTCCATATTGCTCATCTACATAATGGAGAATTTAAATTAGCCAGATTATTAAAGTTTAACAAGATCTCAATAAATGCTCTTTCCTGTTTCCTTGAAGGATCAATAAAATATTTTTTGCTGTCTTTTTTCTTTGCTGTATCTTAATATGTACTATAGCGAAGCTTGTCTAATTATAGGTGTATATAGAATATAATGACTTTTCCCCTTGCTTGCTTGCTCACACTAGGCATGTGACAAGTCTGAAGGGAGGTGGGGGGGAGGGAGGAGGGAAGAGAAGAAATGTATAATATAACATATTTCTAAGGCAGCCAGTTAGAGTGAAATGTGTGGTTTTTGGATAGGCTTTGCTTAGAAGGCTACAGGGTTGCATAGGAGAGTTATGTTGATGAAATGAGTAGAATCTGGTGTAGAAACTTAACCAGTAGCATTGTCGGTAGGCAGCCTAATATGGACATGCATACAACTAATCCTAGTGGAAATGAGAGAGGGGGAAGAACAAACAATTTTAATCCTAAAATGTTTCCTACCATTTTTTTTCCAGTGGCTAGAAAGTTTGAAATGGTGGGGAGAGGGGATGCTGATCTCGGCAGTTGTAGCCACTTGAAAGGTTGGTTGTTGGGGGTTGGGGGGGAACCGTTGTACATGTCACACTGCATGTATATTTGAACAGAGTACTTTCTTGGCTGTTGGTCAGATTTTTAAAAGGAAGTCTCCTTTGGCATTGCGTGAAAGAAATAGAGTGATGACTCATACAGTTGTACTCTTGGCCAGTAGATAAAGTTCTTGTTCATTGTGGGACTCCCAGCAGGGCCTTAGAGTAATTTCCCCTTTTGCATCTTTTTTACAATAGCATATTGCTATTCTGAAACTTTTCCTCCTCTCCTGCTGGTGAAATTCCCTGTGTCTCAGACCACTATAGAAGTAGTTGAAGTTATATGGTTATGTGCATGGCCCAGCACTTAGAAATGACATTCTTTGAAAGTCTCCTAGGTCTCTAATACACAGGAAATGGGTGGTTTATCAGCAGCTCCATTGATGTCCGGGAATACAGATTGTCAGCTAGCTGCCACCATACTAGAATGTGGTATTGTGCTATGACAAGTCAACTCCATTTTTATGTGAGCCTGTCAAACTACACTGGATGCAGTAGCGTGCTTCTGTCCTGTGTTGTATGAATGTGTGCTAGGTGCATGTGTAGGATGAATGACTTTGCCTTTATTAATAAAGACAGTTCTTTAGAATGACAGATAATCTGGTTAAACCTGTTACAGGTGTATGTTTGGGAAGCTGGTTTTGTGTATGTGTAGTTTACTGGGAAACTCATTAGAAACTTCAACTAGTAACAATAATAAAAATCAGCTTAGAGATCATCACTCATTTGAATCATTAGTCTAATATTTGAAAAGCTAAGTAAGACAAGTTTCATCTTTTAGCTTTTCTTTTAAACTGTTATCCAGTATTTGGAAACTGAGTTAATGTAATATCCATTTTCTGCATTCCAAATGTTTCTTAATTGTAAAAAGATTCTAAATTTTGGTTTTAGAGTACCAGGGTTGTTTTTCTTTTTTTGCATGGGTTTTTTTTTTTTTTTTGAAATTTACTTTCACTTCCATTTTTAGTATTTATAAATTGATCTGACTTTAAATTTTTTTCATTTTTACATAGACCTGCTTAGAGTTGGAACGGTACCTCCAGAGTGAACCCTGCTGTGTGTCAGCATCGGATATTAAATTTGAAAGCCAAGAAGATCTGTGGACCAAAATTATTCTGGCTCGAGAGAAAAAGGAAGAATCAGAACTGAAAATTTCTTCTAGTCCTAAAGAGGACAGTCCAATCAGTCAGAGTTTCAGCCAGAGCCTAGAGACCAACAGCTTAAATTCAGATGTGAGCAGTGAATCATCTGACAGCACTGAGGAACTTTCACCTACTACTAAATTTACCTCTGATCCAATAAGTGAAGTCTTAGCCAATTCAGGAAATTTGAGTTCTTCTGTCACTTCCACTCCTCCTTCTTCCCCGGAACTGGGCAGAGAACCTTCCTCTCAACTGTGGAATTGTATGCCTGGTGAATTGCATTCACCAGGTAAAATTCGTACTGGGACTGTGGGCAAGACTGGTGAGAAGGTCAGTGGTGATGCCTCCCCAGATGGCCGGAGACGAGTCCACCGGTGCCATTTCAATGGCTGTCGGAAAGTCTACACCAAAAGCTCGCATCTCAAAGCACATCAGCGCACTCATACAGGTCAGTCCCTCCTCGTCAACCAAAGGAGTTAAGGCTAGTTACCAATAGGGAATACCCTGAATTTCATGTTGTCATTGTATTACACAAGCTCTGGATGAGAGCCCAGAGCCCGGGAGATGATGTAGTCACACCAGAGGTTTACCAGCATTCAAGACATCATTTCCTCATTCTTTTCATCAAAGAGTTGGATCTTTTTGAGGACAGAATCAAATTCTGAAAAGACTGGTTGATTGTCGTGGAGGAATGGCAGGGTTTCAAGTTGAGCATACAGGAAGCCCAAGCCTGTTCCTTGCTGCTCCCATTCTCCTCCTCTCCCCCCTCCCCCCACTCCCACCCCCCACCTCCCATACATCTAATTGAGGGCCTCTTATTACATTCTCCATATAAAAGAATTGGATGAAGTCTTAAATTGTCTCCTTTTAGCTTCATTTTTAATTAATTAAAGAGCCCAGGAGCAGGTGGTCTCCTAGCAGTATAGTGTACATTAGTATTGATGTGACATACTGTACTTGTGTATTTATAGTATATGTGAGAGCTTGACATGACTGCACTCCAACCAATCAAAACACATTTGCCAAGCACTTATTATTTGACTAGGGCGCTCCAGTATATGTTATTATAAATTAAATACAGCCCAATTTATAAAAGGTGCCTTAAAAAAAGGAAGGAAGAAAGGGGCTAGCACCATTAGCAATCAGAATGAAAATCTGACTTTTGAGAGCAGGAAAAGACCTTAGTAATTACTTTGTCCAACCCTTTCATTTCATACATGAGGAACCTGAGTCTCCGGGAAGTAAAGCCACTTACTCAAGGTCACCCAGCTGGTTAGAGACAGCTAGACTCCAATAGAAGCTTCCTAATTCCCAGTCCATCTATTACATTAGGGTCTGGGTTTTATCCTATTCATAAGTAGTAGTATGCTTTATTTGACATTTCCTGGTAGCACTGTTGATTAACAAATGGCTTCTAGGTCATGACTTGATTTGAGGAACGGTTTTTTGTTTTTTTTTTAAGTTATTTGGTTATTATCTGGGAGTGTGAATACAATTGAATTTTCAAGAGAAGTAAAAAGATCTAGTGAAAACTGGCCATTCCCATTCCATGGGGGAAAGCGTGTAGGGATGTAGGGTCAGGTACATCACGTATGATATATTTCACCAATGTCTGGCATTGTCTTGTAGATGTTAACTTCCATTACTGTAATTGTATATATCTATATCTGTCTATATCTATAGATAGATATGTGTGTGTATATATATATATATATATATATATATATATATATATATTTATAGACTTTGCCAAAATTTGAAGTCCCTGCTAGAGTACTAAAGGAGTGTCACCAGAAATTATGCTTGTTAATATCTATTGCCATAAATTAGTATTGTCCTTAATCATAATTGTTTGAGGATTCTGTACCTGAGGCACGTTCTTGGAAGCTCTGAACTTGGTCATAAATGAGTTGGGGACTTGGTGTGTATTTTTGTTCTGAGCTGTGTTCATCTTTGTTTCAATGAAGTCACAGTTGACCAATGATGTGTTTCGTTTGTAGGAGAAAAGCCTTACAGATGCTCATGGGAAGGGTGTGAATGGCGTTTTGCAAGAAGCGATGAGTTAACAAGACATTTCAGAAAGCACACGGGTGCCAAGCCTTTTAAATGTACTCACTGTGACAGGTATGTGAATGGAGACTCCTCAAAAAAATCCTTCAAGGGTTAAGTGGAAGACCCTGACAAAGCCTCCCCCCATCCTTTTTTTTTTGTCTTAAAGAAATTTCACGCGTAAAGATAATTATTATTCTTCATTACCAGCAGTATTTTTATTGGCCCTAGTCTTCACTGATTAAAATCTCAAGAAAATTTTGTTCATTTTCATTGTAATAATAAATGATGATAGCTAGCATTTATACAGTACTTTTAAGAATTACATTTTTTGACATATACTTTCTTTTGCTCCTCATAACCACCCAGGGAGGTAGGGGCTATTATTATCCCCATTTTATACATGAGGAAACTGAGGCTGAGAAAGGTTAAATGATCTGCCTAGGATCGCACAGCTAGTGAGGATCTGAGGCAGGATTTGAACTTTTATCTGTCTTCTTGACTGGGGATCACATCCACTGCACCACCTAGCTGCCTGACAAAAGATTTTCACACAGACATGTGATACTATCCCTTTGGCATAGTAAAGCAGGCTTCCTCTTCAAAAAAGCTCTCTATACCAAATTATGAAGATCAAACATCCCTAAGGGCATTGTGCTCAACCACTAAATTGAGACTTCCTGAAATAGAAATCAGAGGTCAGCTACAACCTTCATTCCTATAAAATGGAAATGTAGTGTACCTTTAACAAAATTCTTATGAACCAAAGAGTGCTCTTCCGATTTCTTAGAATGGGAATAGAGAGACACCATTACACTATAGATTCACAGAGAATGCAGCATAAATCTGTATTTTATTTTTTTTTGTTTTGTTTTGCAGGTGTTTTTCCAGGTCTGATCACCTGGCCCTTCACATGAAGAGGCACCTCTGAATGAGTCAAGAGGTGAATCCTGTGGGCTAAGCGGCTGCAAGGTTGAGACAGCCTTGTGAGGAGGGATGCGTGTCCCAGCCAAAAAGCATGCCATTTTGCACCCTACCCAGTTGCCTCCAGGACCTCTAACTTGAAGGTCTTTTGAGGGCTAATAAAGTCATGTAAGAAGTG